TTCACCGTGGATTATGTCATGTGCATGAGTGTCCAGTTGTTCATATGTATACGAAAATCATTGAAACTGGCTTCAGTAAATAATGCTGAGAGGTGGAGTAGATGCGTTAGTTTGCTATGGCAAAAGGAATATCTGTCGACCATTCACCATCAACAATAATGCGAAAGGGGATGGTTAATCCTATGTTAGAGAATCGTCGTGCTTGCCAGTCACGTATTGGCTTTATGTATAGAGTCCGTAACGAGATCTAATATGCGATGGACATTGTGCAGTTGAATCATTCCAGCGAGGGTAATGGCTTATAGGTGGACAAAAAAATTCTAATCCAATGGACAGACTACTTGATTTTTATTATTCGACAGAAGACATTAGGCTCTTCCACTGAATTAACGGCATTTACTGTTATTTTTTTTTTGCTATTGTCATTAATCGTTTTGTCATACAATTGTATGCAATAAATAAATTCAATAGATCTGAACATCCACGCAATAACCCGAAGATAAATCGTTGTTTTGACATCTCGGTAGAAATTCATTCCATCAAAACGTTGCGCCCAGTTCGTAAAATACTCCGAGCAATACCAAGTGAATGGGTTGTCTCAACGACTGGCAAAGTTTTGGGGCACTAGTTTGAAAGCCCAGGTCAATCCTGACCTTAGGGATGAGGAGAATACATCTTGAGTTGAACCGCACATAAGCTAATGCACCCAACGCTGGAAAAACTTTGGCGTTTCTTGCTTACTCCTGACTGGAGAAAACTTTCCCTTCTGCTTTAAACAATTTTTTAAAAAGCTACTCCAACCCCCTAGCATAAAGTGTTGCACTGTACAAATAACAAACTTCCTCGAAGGAAATTAAGTCGAGGCTCTTGTTTATAATCAAGGACCATCGGTTTATGGAATTTTTAGTCTTTCCATATGTACATGTCAATCCGTACTAGAACAATCCGACATTTTTATTCTCCTCTTTTATTCCCATCACATTGATAATCACTATCGAGTATAATTGGTACCGATATACTTGGTTTCCGTAATCCGATCACTCTATTGAAAGAAAAAAATAATATTGCCCGATTCCGCTCTTCCAATTCGCAACAAGTAAAAAATAATAATAATGACAGGATCCCCGTGAAATGAATGAGAGCTCTCATAACAAAAATCATTGAAATAGAATTTCAGAGGTAAAATTTCAAGTGCCCTGTACTCAATCCCCCATTAATAAAAAAAGGGATGATGGAAATGACCCTTTTGAAGTAGCACAGCTCAAGTCCCATTGAAATCCATGGCTAAAAGATAGTTTCGAATTGATAGCAGAACCAGCATCACCCCATGGAAAACTCCAATATTCGATTCTCCCTGTCGCGATAAACCATCCTGAGCATATGAAATAAATTCACCGAACCATTATTCACAGAATTTAAAGCCCCACAATTACAGAAGATTTAGCCAGTGACACTTGTTTGAATTAACTTGTAAAAGTTTAATTTCAAAAAAGCTTGGAAGACGGAGTAGTAGATATTGGTTGAAGCGGGTGGACTTAATTTTCCTCTTCATCGGGCAACCTGTCTCGCTTTGTTGGAACGTGCCCGTTGTTCCAAAGCTCTTCCTCAGCAATAGTAACTATAGTAACTATAAAATGGTTGGCCAGTGTGTTAGTATGGCCTGGTGGGAGTAGAATAGGATTCTCGGATGGGCAACCGAGAGATATTTAACAAGGGAACCCAGGGTGAAGGAGAGGCCAAGCGGTTTCATCAACAGAGAAGTATTGAAAACGTCTCAACGTCATGGTGTACATTCCCATGGTCCATTCGAATTTCATCTTCATCTCTCTCACTCATTGGTATACCTGGCAACGATAGTATCCTGTATCTTGGCCACCCGCATCGTCCGCTGGTGGACGATGGTCTAATCATCGCGCGCATTGTCCTTCTCTCGTGCCAGGACTACCACACGACCACCGGGGAAACCTCCAATGTCCACCCATCGCCGAGGGGGTCATCAATGAGTGCTCCATTAGATGCCACTGTTTACTCTGGGACCGGCGTGTTTGGTGTGTTGAGAGAGCCATCATTCCTGTCTCTCCTCTTCCTCTCCTCAACACCTTTATTCACCTTCATCCCTCCCTACATCTATTGCACACCCCTGGATTTTCTGACGTTGGATCCCTCATACCTCTCGTCCTCAACCCCTCGTCGACACTTCAACAGCCTAGTAGACACGAGAGAACACACGGGAACGGGGGAATCAATTGTCCCGACGAGACCCACCAAATTCTCGTAAATACACTCAACCGATTATCGAACAATCCCTGTTACCACACGTAATTCGGTTTATGAACGCAACTAATGCGAATGTCCTTCGAAAATTATCACTCGGAGAAATAGAATTTCTCGAAAAATTAAATAGCTTTGAGTCTCGAGCTGCGGGAATATCTTTTGGTCGAAATGATGTCTCATTTGGATTCGCATCACCTAATTCAAATTTACCAACTGTCAATTTGTCTAAGAGCCATTACTTTCACCCTTGAAGCATGCCAACAGCAGACTTCAATAATCTCCGGAATTCTTGTCTCGACAATTTTTCCACTCCCATCGTTTCCATCACATGTCCCTCCCTCTTGGTAACCCAGGCCCTTCTACCCAGGGTGGAAATTCCATCGCGTTTCACATTCCAATGTGTTCACTCCTCCATCCCCGTTCTCTCGACTGCTTTCCTCGTGTGCTACCCTCAATAACCCCTTTCACCCAAACCACCTTTTCTCATGGTACACCCTGCGGTTGTCGTTTGCCACGCATCCACCGACATCCCTGGGAAGCTTATTTCGTATACACATCGGCGACTGGAACAGATCGCCAGTCGTTCGTCAACCTCGTGAACGTCCGTCTTGGAGATTACACGACCCAGTGGATAATAAAAATTTTGTTAACCAAAAAAATTTCCGTCTGGATAAAAATTCGGACGGATCGCGAGTTCGATCCTAACAAACAGCGATTTCTCGCATTCTCCTTCAATTAATATCATTTCGACAATAAATTATGAAGTACAATAGTAAGTACTTGAAGCAATTGTCAATGGAGGAAGTTAGATTATGTCTGAAGCGAGGGAAAATATCGGCGATATCTGGAGACGGCAGGAGGCGACGACCGGCTGTCGGCACAACCATCGGCTATTCCTCTTCTTTTTTTTATTCACCTTTTGCCCTATCCGCCCCTTTTTCAGGGCTTTTTTTCTCGTGGGGACGTCGCCACACATCTGACGAGCCATTAGGGCCTATCGGATTGCTCCACTTGACTCCTCATCGTAATATCATCGGGTGCCCGTCTTTTATTGTTTTTTTTTCAAGGGGTGGTTTATTTGGAGAGGAGAAAATATTACACCCCGAACCAATAACTGAGCAATCATTTTTTTTGGTTTGATTTAGTGGATGAAAATTGGAACGATTAAAAAATCATGAAGTATCTAATCTAAAATAAAAATATCGCCAGTTTCTTGGCCTATTTCGTCTAGTGAGAATTAACGAATAATTAAAAGAAATAACGCGACTACCGATTTCTTCAATTAATTAATTATCAAACGATATTATACTATTATCCGAGAATAATAATTCACGATTGAAATAATGAATATTTCCGGTTTTCCTATTTTCTCAATTTTCAGACTAGAATGAAAAAGCCGACGTAAGTGATACAAATGGTCTTATGTGGGTAAATAGAATTACGAGAGGCTGGTACATATGCACGTGAAAATGATCGTCATTTATAACATAAAAAGGCGTATACGCCGGAGAGAAAATTTACAGGTGCGGAGGGGTTGAAAATGCTCTGGTAGGAAAAACGTTGTACGTGCGGTTGAAGTCGAAAGAGGGAATAGGATAGTGGAGAGGATGAGTGAGATGGTGGAGAGAGGAGGGTAACCTCGTGGTGAGGTCTTTTGTAACAGTTAGTCGGTGGTCGCGGGGACTATTCACCTGGTCAATTACCGCCTGGAAAACGCGCGCTCGCGCGTGCACAATCTCAGGAGGGGTCTCGCCCCATAATTGACCATGGATTACCCCCCAGGCCACGAAATCAGTTAATGTCACCCTCGTGGATGACGAGGCACGTACCCAGGCTAATCCCCACGAACGATTTACCCAGTACCAAGGGTATACCGTTAATCGTGCAGGAATTCCAGGGACATCTTCACGGGGGAAATCGGTGGTTTGAAAAATTTTTGAATCACGACCCCTCATCCAGCTGTAATTTCCCAGTTTATGAGTTTAATTGACAAGCTGTTATGTCGGCGTTTGAATTTATCACGGGGTGCCGCTAATTGATGGAAGAAAATCGAAAGCGATTTCCACCTGTCGATCTATACGAATTGAATATTTCTCCTGAAAAATTGGGGACGGGACAGATCGAATCAATCATCAATCATTTTAGAGAGAATAATTTTAGATTAGAAAAAAAATATTGGGAATGGAGTGTGAGGAATTTCAAAGAGCGCAGAATTTTTTTTATCTTGAAATATAAAGCTCGAGTTTTTCTGTCTATGATTATGGCGAGAGTTTACTCAAGGCCATAACTATATCTTGATTATCCTTCGAAGCAATGTGATTGCCATAATTGAAACCTAATGATCATACTCTCGAAATGACTGGAGAAGTACGGTATTAACCATTACACCGCACCCTTTCAAAACGCACATTTACTGTACCCCGCGGTCTGTCAAACCGCTACTCCGTCTGGATCGCGTATCCAATTTTTTTCCGCGAATTAATCAAGAATTTTTCCAGCCGCGACCCTTCCTCCCGCTCCCGAGGTAAATAGATAGATAAATAAATCAATAAATTTCCCAAAAACTATACACGACAGATTTCACTGTTAAAAAATTGTACATGAAATGAATTGAATGAATTCTTCTTCAGTTTAGTTTGACAAAAGACTAAATGCTGTTGAAGGTGAATGGGTATTCACCATAAATAATTCACTTTTTATAAAGAATCAATACCTCAATGTTACAGATTCGCGGTAACAGCAGTTGCCTGGCATCCACATGGTACCTACCTGGCATCAGTTGATCGCACGAAAATGGCAGCCGTTTGGGGAGATCACGTCTGACACGAGGAATGATTGTGCTCCAGGCGTGGTGTATTAACGCCTCCTGGCCCTGACTGATCCCCACGAGATATCCCCGAAGAATTTAAATCACCGAACGTCAACTGAAAAATCAATCATTTCGTCTCGAATTGTCGATCAACCCCAGCTTCCATAAAAATCACCCCCAACCATTAACCGTCGTAATATTAATACTCCCCTAATTTATTAATCAACGGTATATTCCGGTGGAATGAACTCTCATTGTGGAATAATCAAATATTCTTGTGGTCATTCAGAGAAAATGTGGACAACAATACAACGGTGGGCCATTGGATTAATTTGAAATACTGACAAAGTGATGTGAGCTCAATAAACAATATCTGTCGTACGAGATAACGGGTAACAATAGTAAATCTAAATACAATAACACTCGAAAGATGAGTGGGTGGTACATTATTAGAGTAAATCCCCGTGATATGTAACATATCCAATGTTTTCAATTGCAAGCTCCATCGATCCAAACACAAATATGCACTTTGTATTGTTATCCACGATATTCTTCCAATTCTCCTTCTACCCCTTTCCCGGGCTATTCGCTCCAATAATCCAAAATGACACGATTATTAATGGATTTTCATGATGAATTCGGGCAAATGGTACACAGATTTTATATCGTCAAAGGGAGTCGCTGAAAGTAATTCAATGTCTATTTGTATAATCTCCACAAGTTGTGGTTATCAATCGTACCAATCATGAAAATCATTAATTTGACACATTGCAATCCTTGTTTAATTAACCCAGATGATTATCATCTATTAAAGGGAAATTTAAATTGACAGTTCAGCTTATTAACTAACTCGCGTTTAATTCAGAACATCATCGCGTCTCCCAGAGTTACTTTATTTTTATAATAAAACCGGGAAATGAGAAAAAAAAAGGAGAGAAATGTGTTAACTAACCGATGGGTTTGACGGTGCAAAATTTTAATCATCGATTCAGTGGAATTATCCATATTAACAATAGGTTACAGATATTATATTGAAATCACTGTGTTTATACTCATGGAAACGATAATTATGTCGCAGGTCACAAAATTAATCGAATTAAGGAGTTTATAAATAAAATAAAACAAAAGATGTTTTGATGTAAATACATACGATATCTTTTTCATACCCTCACTTTTCATTATTTATTAATTAATATTTTTGGACATTCCTTTCATTCTCCATTCCTACTCAAGTCTTTTGCCGCACGATTTGAATTCATATAAAAACACCAAGTTCCAAATATTGATGTTTGCTTTGGTGAAATTTTAATATTTGATGTCTTAGTATTCAATATTTGCCCCGTTGGGAGGTCTCGTACTTCGACCTGTCGCATATGAAAATATGTGTCTTGAAGAGCTTTAGTTCAACAGAACTACCTGGATTCGATTTCACCCCATTGTGCAGTGATATTCTAGAAACACTAGCCCTCAAAATTGAGTGACACGTATTGGTTTTAAAACTCTTTTCACAGATGAAACCACTCTCCCATTTTTTAGACAAATATTATGCAATACGACAGGAGGTTTAGATAAAAATTGAATAGAGCAGTCCGATAATTTTCACTGCAATTGTCATATGAGTTTGTGATGAGAATGCCTCGCCTTGTGGGACCAACTGCCCCCTGTCCCTTCGAGGAGATGAGACGCAGAGCTATATACAAGGTATGGTCTAAGAAACTTCTACAGTTTGAAATGGCATACAGCCCCCCCAGCCCCCCTGGCATTTCACTACTAAAGTTTTGCATTATGCCAGAACCGTTCTAGACCGGCGACGATTCGACGGGTTTTCGCCCGTTGACAGAAATACCGTGGGGGATATGGCTGAGAGGAGCTGACGATAGAATGAGATGAACGTAAAACAGAGAGGGAAATGACAGGGGGCACCGGGGGGAGAACGAGGGGGAGATGAGGAAAATGGGGTGAAATCAGGGGAAGGGGGGCATAGGTGGGAGGGCGAGAAGCGAGAGTTGGAGAATTTCTCATCTCCCCCTTTCTACAGGCACTCCTCTCAGCCTCACCCCCCTTTCCTCTCCTGGGAGTGATTGAAACTGGGCGTCCCGCTAACGATGTCAAAGTTTCGTTGCCGGCTGTCGAGCGTGACGCCACGTGTTTCACTTCCGTTCGCCTTTCGTTCCTCACCGAGTCACTACTGTAACGAATCGATCTTTGACAAGTTCGCGGTGGAGACCGACTGGAAATGTCGACCTCCACAGCGAGGTACAACATGAGGGGAATACGTTAAAGCCTTTATACCTCTTCCCTTCTTCTCTTGGGGTTCACTTCTCCCTCCACTTTTCCAATTTACCACTTTGTAGTCGCGTTATTTGTTTGAGTGTTCTGTATCTTGTGGTATCGCTATCGCCAGGGGTTCGGGGAATTGCACTGCGGTGGGGGGCAAAGGGGGGGTTAATGTGAGAAGTTGATGCGAGTCAATTTGATTTTGGTTTGTAATTCGGTTGGATATGTGGGGGGTAGTGAGGTGAGAGGATGCGGTTATTGGGGAGATGTCAGTGATGTTGATGATTTTGCGGGGTGCAAACAGTAAATTTCAGTTGAAATACATATTAATGTGAATTGTATAGAAATTTGAGGTGAATGCTCAAAAAATTTATACCGAAGGTAGGACTGGATTGAATTAAACTGGGTAGTTAAGTTAACAACAGACATGAATGAAGCCAAATAAATTGGGGAATTCCAGTTGAATCGTAATCCCAGACCGAGTTATTATAGTTGAGTGATACGACCGACTGCGGAAATAGGATAATTGAGATTGGAATCCGGTTCTTTTTCTCGTTTACCGGTACCCGTTGTCAGGAGAAGTTTTCATCGATAAAGGTGAATTTACGGAGTCATTGAGCAGACAGAATTCTAGGTGAATCAATGGAGCTGAACAAATTGATATCATTGGTTATACAGCTGTGCAATGATGGCTTTTAAGAGATGCCACCCAGGTGGCAGGAAGTTATTGGCACAGAGTCGTTGTCGCACTCAACTCGTGTATTTCCGCTATTGTTATTAACGGATAATTGCATTCAGTGAGAATTCAGAGCTCTGCTGGTTGAGTGTCATTGTAAATATGGGCCTTGGTATATTCTATCTGTCTGTCTTGTTATCCCATTCGAATCTTCTTCGAGTCCATATCCACTTTCTTCCCCATCATTTTGAGGGAATTGTTGAAGTAGTCCATCAGGAAACGTGGAGATCCTTTCAGCACAATCAGCTGGAGGTTGAGGGGCTGTTGGTAAACGACTTGGAGATATGTATTGTCCTGGGGTGGTGAGACAAATTGGTGGGGCTCTTGGTGAGTAGAGGAGGGAATTAGGGAATTGCTGAAATATCGCCCCTATCTTTTATCAAATACCACGTCCCATCATTTGATATAATTTACTTACTCCTCATTAATTCATTCATTACTCACGCATTATCCTAATTATTCATTCCCCCATTTGAGAAGTTCCGATTTATCTTCTTTCAAAATAAAAAGGTTTCATTCTTTTTATTTCATTAGAAAACCACATTTACGCTTCAAATCATTAATAAATAAAACCTCTCATTTGTTCAATATTCTGTCATGTATCGAATAATAAAGAAACTTTTTTTCTCTTCAAAGCAAACAGTTCAGAATGTCGAACGGAAGTTGTACGATCGCAGAAGTTTCTACATTTTTTTACACGCAATTACATCGGCCAATTGACATGAGGCAATTAAAATGCTTCAGAAAAAAAATTGTCAGAACACAGTGTGCATGATAAATCGCGTCAATGTAGAACTTACTAAAGTCAACAAGACTGTATTTGAATCCAAACAAGGGTAAATGCTCGATGAAACGGGAGGGAACGGGCAGTTGTCATGGAACCGTATAAACACTGATAGATGAGAAGTACCATCAGCCTTTAGATAAGACGTTGTACACGCGTCTAGGTCTCATACAATAAATAACAACCGTCAACACGATGAACAGCAACATAAACTAAAAACACACGTGTTTGCGTGGGATCGGTTGCTTACAGACAGAGGAATAAATATATTAATCATCGCATTTGATTATCAATTTGTTTGGCGGTGACTCGCCATTTTATTTACCTCCATTCCCACGTACTTTCGAATAAACTTCGGTGTTTAAAGTTCTTCAATGAAATTTTTTGCAATTCCAGAGAACTTGTTTATTCATCATTAGGATGTTTATGTATTCATTTGTGATTTATTCGGGAAAAAATTGCTTTCAGTAGAATCGGGAAAAAAACGGGGGGTATACACAAGAAACGAAATTGCGGAGAGGTGCGACAATATCGGGATTTTACTGTAATTAAATTTCTGGAACGTGGAGCACAGGGATTTTTAATGGATTTCCGATGACTTTTCATCAATACTGTGCAATATGCCACATTTATTGGTGAGAGGCCTGTAATTTTTTGTAGATATATTTCTCTCCGTGTAACTTTTCGAAAGTTTCAGGTATCCTTTTGACTTTCAGAATGCCACCAAGTTCATCCCACTTGCATAGTTCCTTTCAGGGATATTCAACATTCAAAAACATCTATTTCACCTCAACCCACTTCGGTTCACTCTTCTCAAACTATGAGGAAATTCTTGAAAGTTGAAGACGCTCATTGGCTATAGCTGCATTCAGAGAATCGCCCTTTTTTATTTATGAGTGGAAAATTTCTCGCGAATTAAGTATATTCTTCTGAATTCAATAAGGCTTCTTGTTTCAGAATGTCCGGGGATTGTTTCATCATCAGCTTCATGGAAGTTTCATTCGAAATAAGAAAAAGACTTGGTTTACTCTAGCTTCGGTTATATCGCCAAGATTTATTACACACTTGGGATTTTTTGACCGCTGAAACACTCCGTGATTCACAGCCGACAGCGTAATATCACACGCTCTTCAGAAATTTCAAATTATTATAAATGATATATAATGAAGATGAAACTTCCACTGATAATCTGACGCATTAACGAATAGAATATATTTAAACCTATACATTTCCCATTCGCAATTTTTAAAGGAAAGAAAAATTATTAGTAATTCATATAAATTGTAAATGAATTTAATTTGAATTATTACTGAATGCATTTTTTTTCAAATAGGAGATTTTTTTTCGTGAGATCTAGGAGACAATATTTTCCGATGTATTCACGGAGAAAGAAAAATATTTTCTGTCGTGTAAACATTGTCTTGGTAAATTCTTATAAATACGCAATCCTCGGATCCAGTAACTTTCAGAGGATTCGAGTGAGCCATGTACCACAACAATGCGCATCAGAACTCTATCCGTACCCTGAAAATATCTATCATCGCAATGCAACATCTGAAAAAGAATACCGCTTCCCAAGTCACCACATATTCAAGAAAAATAATCTCCAGAGTATTTTCTTCCCGGCAAAAAAAAGCCGAAAAATTAGCAAATCATCTCCGTTCGCGTAACCGTTCGCTGATTCCACGAGAATAAAATCTTTTTTTCAGCTTCTACGAAAACAAATTTCAGTAAAACCCATCCGAAAAAATTAACTAAAAGTAAAAATAAAGTCCCGATGTAAATGCAAATTATGACAATAATTTTTTTTTCAATAAAAAGAAAAGTGGTAAGTAATAATAAGTTTTCGATTAAAAAAATTATTTATCGAGTGTGTTTTTAATTTTTCATAGACATTTTTATTAAATTTATCAATGAGATTCTATCCCGTCTCCCTCCGCTTGAATTTCTCCCCCCACGAATAAACTGCACCCCCGAAAAACTGTCACCCCAGTCTATAGAAAACGAAGAAAAAAATAATAAAAATATTCAATCAGTCGCAAAGTTGGTGCGTCAATCAATCATGAATGTGTGCGTTATGCGCTCGGGAGATATCCAATGGCCGGTTGAATTCTCCTCAACGAAAGAGAGCCCAACCTCGACATATCTATATACCTACATATGTAACACATAACCCCGTACGTTGGAGACGATATTACCCAGTTTGTGAGACTGGGGGGGAGAGGATTGAAACGGCGTCGGCGCCGAATTGTGGCCCAACGTTTCGCCGGAGTCGACGCACTGAAAGCTCGTCAACGGACTTGCGGCGGGCATTCAGTAGTGACTCGAGCGTCGTATACGAAACTCAAAAATCCGGTCGACTTTTTCACTCTCAAGTTTTTTTTTTCATCCGTAAAAACCGCCCCAAAAAGCCCCCAAAACGCTCACAACAAAAAAATCATTCAAACCTCCCACCCCTCAACTCCACCAATTAAATCCCCAAATACCAACAAACAATTAAACTCAAACTCCCGTAACAACCACAATCCTAGAAATCGCAAAAAACCATTTCGAGTTGAGTCCTAGAGTAGAAGGATTCGATGCGATTCGCCGCTAGCGCGAGTTCAAACTATTGGAATTTAAAAAAAGGCGCGCACACTGGAGAAACGATATAAGCTGTGAAGTGCAAGTGCTTTGACATTTATTCAATAGAATAAATTGCATTGAGATAAATAGCCGGGGGGAAGGGAGTTTAAAAGTATCAACGAGTGTTACTCCTTTCCCCTTCCACCGTCGGTGGTGTGCGCCCCAAGTGTTATTTATCTACAAAACTATGATCCTGTGATTCGACGTGTTTATACAAAACCCGTTTACACGGTAGTCCAGAGGTGCACCGACAGGTTGCACCGTTGCTCATAACAAAATAAAAGCAAAATATAAATAAACAGAAGAAGAAATCATGAAAAGCACCGCGAGACGCCGGAACTCGCGATCCCTTGATCTATCGCTTCTCATTCTTGCTGTTGCAACCGGTAAGATTCCTTTATGCGCGTTGATCATCGTAGTGTGTGGATACACGTATTTTATCTAATCTCAGATTAAAATGACACGACAATGTAGAAACATTTTTTCCATTATTTATCACAAATAACTTAACACAAATCTTCCGGAGACAGAAGAAAAAAAAAGTCCAACCCGTTTCCTTCCTGATACCGAACATTTGCAAAAACAAAAAGAGAAAGCCAGGAAAATGTTTTTACCTCAATTCATGTCTCGATTAATTAATCCAAGTTGTCATGTTACGTGAAATGAGACTGGAATGAGGAGCATTGAGAAGCAATCCGGGATAATCCAGAAAGAGTGAATTTGTCGGTTGAATCAGAGAAACCCCAGAAAAGTGAAAAGCAGTAAAACGAGTATGGAACCGTAGAAACTTTCCGGCTTTATCCCCTTTGGAATTTTCTCGTAGCAGGTGGATACGGGAACTTCACAATCGGCCAAGTCTCCGTGACTTTTCCAACGGGCAAAGAGAGTGGAAAAACTTGGGGGACCCCTTTGGATTCCGACAGGACCTCAATACACTATTTTCTCCCTTCCAACTGGTGCATCAGATGGAATAGAACGAGGGGTTACAAAAAGAGAAATAGAAAACACGAAAGTAACGTGTAACGACTCTTGGCCGTCGAATTGAAATCCTCTCTTCGCTTACGTTTCATTCGACGAGTTTAAAACGGCTTTGATAAAGTGAGGGAGCGGTATAAATCCCTCCGGTAGATTTCAACATCAAAGTTATTTTCCATGGTGGATGTAAAATTAATCATCTTCATGCTTCTCCACTTTTGGTTTATCCTTTGGCGTATGAAAACCGTTTGGGAATTCGTTATTTCCTTCCCTGGGACGCGTAATCGACTCCGTATGCACTGGCTTTTACTCAGCAAAGAGATGAAGAGGTACCCGCATTCGCGGATACAAGAATTTACATTACACTCTCTGTACTTCAATAATTTTCCTTTCTTCGATGCATCTCTTTTCGTCTTACATCAGCTGCTCTGATTCAGCGAGTTCGCTTGCCATCTGCTGCTCATTTTGGAAGCTCTTCCTGCGAACTCAGCTTATCAAAATCTAAATCAGTTTTATCTGATCAGGATTTCATCTGATCTCAGATGAAGACGCGATAAAGAAGTCCTTTCGATACCTTTCTGATGCTCTTCTCCGCGGTCAAATCATGTGCAATTAGCTTCATCATTTCTAATCTGGTATTCACTAATATTGATCACTTCGAGTCACCCTAAACCATACACTAATCAAGAAGACTGACTTAAATCAGGCCAAACCGAATCGACCGGATGCACTCGACGCAAAATGATCGGTAGAAAATCGGTTGCAACCGATCATAATCTTCCGCTGATGCACGAATGGTCTGATTTGAATTTCCACTTGGACTTTCCACTTTTCTGATTTTGCTTGTCTTCCTTTACATCTTCTTTTACATCCTGCAACCTCTCCCGCTGTGATATCCTCAAACAAAAATTTCGTTCTGTCTCCGGAGTACATTTCCGTGACTCACCCAAAACGGCCGCCGGCATTTTGACTCGCCTTATCCCCATAGTTTACCCATCCCCATCCATTTTTACTCATCCACATTTTCCCCTCAGCTCGTCGCCTCGTTAGAGGATAACCCGCGAGGGGTATCGCGATATTAATCAGCGCCACCGTTAGAAAAAGCTTTTCACTATCGCGCGCGCGTCTTCTCCCGTGAGATTTATACAAGGCCATAATTAAAGTGTCACGGGTAGAAGTAATGCTACTAGTGAGTTGAAAAAAAAAAGTTGAAAAGAGTGAGGGGTTATAAAAAAAAAAAGGCAAATAAAAGGGAGGCAAACGCCCGCCGGTAACCGAGGGACTCTTTTGTTCTCCATGTACCGTGTTTTTTTTTAGTTTTTTTTTTTGTTGTGAGAAATTGAGTAATTAAGCATCAGCATCCCAACTATTTTGCCCCCTCCCACTCGGAATATTTATCCCAGTAGTTCCAGTGAATGGGCTTTTTCGTGCTTCAACCGCCATCAGCACAACGTGCCAACAATTTTCTATGATAGCACATACATTATATAAAACACTTTTCATTTTTACCTGGATGTTGGCAGTGCCTTGTAGTGTTTTTCGTCTACTTTTTATTCACTTTTTGCATGCCAATGAAATATCGCGAGTGCGCGACGGGAGAATTTCAATGCAGCAACCAGTGCCACGAAGGCACTGAGTACCATAGAGGGAATCGTGTCCAACCTCTCTGGTATCCCTCTTTTCCTCTCACCTAGGGATTTTGTTCCTCCATCGTCGGTTGAAAATGTGAAATTACGTGATTCACTTGGTAGTCACAGTCGGTGAGGTCTTGATTTTCCCGTAACGAGTCTGACTTTGTTAGTCATTCCACCGATTGTGAATTATACACAACCATTCCCCGAATCCCAAGTTCAAGTGAAGTACGACCTTTTAACATGTGCATTTCCCCGCAAACTTGCGAGATTTCTCGTGAGTTTAAACTTAGTTAGTCATTTACGGAAATGATTTTCACCGAGGGCGAGGGCTAGTGATGAGATTTGTTGGCGAAACTCGGAGAATCGATGAAATAAGAAAACTCATTTCAATTTGATAAGAGATAAGGGATAGGACTGGGCGATGAAGGGGGATGAAAGGGGATGAAAGGGGGGAATAACTGAGTGAGGGTGATGCAATCAACAATCTGAGATGTGGATATATATATTGTGAAAACTCGACGGCGATGATAAGAGACTGTGTCCAACGTGAAAGTTATTCTCCTTGGGTCCTTATTATACGAGAATAATGTTGACGTCACAGGAAAAGAGGGTAACGAAGAAAGTTACGAGCCGCTTGAAAAGTTTTTGTGAAAATACTGAGGGGCGGAGGGATGGGGTCCGAGCAGTGGTTTGCTTCTTGCGCGATGACGAGAGAATTCTAGTGGAATTTTTCTTAGTGTACTCAGTACTTCTGCGGACGATTCCGGGGGAGAAAGAAAATCTAGCCCTTCAACCCACTGTTCAACTTGGAGAATGAGGAAAATGTTGGAAACGCCACTTGAGTACTGGACACGGTGGGAATTCAGCCAAAAGCGCGGGAGGCCTGTTTTTTTTCACCCTTTATTTTTCATTTTTATTTTTCCTCTTTTCACGGCGATTTATTCACGCCCCCTTTGCTGCACAGTGGCCTCTTCTTCGTCGGTTCACTCATGTTGCCTCGCGGGAAATGCAGGATGTGAATTACCCGTGTGGATTCACGCAAATGTTCATCAGACGCTCGTCGTAGATGGTGAAATCACATCGCGTTATCATGTCACACTCGCTCAATTCTCATCTGTCCTCGGTGGGATTTTACTTCAACATGGGAATGAATATGATGTATGAGGTGTGGAGCTCGGGATGAATCATTTCCTCAATTAACTTTTCTGACGGGATTTTGTGGTTCGGAGTGGCGGCAATCGTGACGTCGATATGATTGCCTGATAAGAGGGTGGTAATGAAATTGCGGTTACTACCGCCTAATTGTCAAAATTACCTCTCAGAAAATTTATAATACCGGAAATTATAATTGTTATGGAAAAAGTCACGAAATTGAACAACAAAATTATCGAGAAATACAAAAAAAAATTGTGTCGGTACAAACTCACAAACAATTATATGTACCTATTATTTTTATGACGGTTTTTAGTTTGGAAAATTCTTTTTTAGTTCGGAGAAATTTTTTAGGGGAAATTTCCGGCGAGGAAATTTTTTATAGCAAAATTTTCTGAAATGCACAACTGAATACGATAAGACGACCAGGAAATCCGTCAATGGCTGTCCCTCGTTGCGATATTGGGATTTAATTGAAGCTGTGTAATTACTCCAGTTGATATTTTACTTGGAAAAAATAATCATTCTCAACTATCGAGTGTCGGTGATAACGCAAGGGCAGAAATTGTCGCTGGGAAATTGTGCGGATGGATTGCCAGTGCGTGAGCCTTCGAGATTTGTTATCACTTAGAGTGATGTACACACGACTTTTTGCGCTCACATTTATGGCACTGAGGATGCACGTACACTTGCATGAGGAGATTTCCGAGAGTTATTTGAATTCAAGTTCTGTGGAGTTGAGACATTCATATTTGAAGCACCTCTTCCCCCATTCATTTTGCGGGATATCAAGATGTTAATTATTTTGTCAACATTTCGACAGTAAATGGCAAAATTATTTTCAGAACTCGTGGAATCAAGGGAAAGGCGTGGGTAATCGATTAAGAGGATTTAATTACACTTCAAATTATTGATAATTCTTGATATTAAATCTCACAGAATTTTTTTTCTCAATTTTCATTACTGATTGCAAATTAATTTTTCATTCTCTGTGACTTTATTTATTGTTCTCTTTTTTCCTCTCCACCTTGAAAATTCAATAGAACAATAAACAATAACTTATCAGTTTGGGGAATTGTGGGAAATTTAATAGTGATTTAATGAAAATTACGAGAAAGCAATGAATGTTAGAATTTCAAAGTAAATTACAAGTGTAAAAATTGAAAAAAGACTGAAAGTTTGTACGGCAGTTCGACAGGGAATTTATTTATATTTTATTATGGAAAAACCACTTAACGTTTTGAATATTCAATAGTAATATCACAAGCGTTCCGAAATTATTGGGTTTACCATAGGTTCGTTGCATATAAATGAATAGATCGAACGTTGCAAGTTGAAACTCACGATCGAAAAATTTCCCGATAAATTTGACACATTTTTTTATGCGGAAAAGCGTCATGTAAATTCAGCCGATTATTTTTGGAGCGTCAGTGGTTGATGCTGGGATATTTGTTCTACTCAGTTATTTGGCGATTGGGTTTACAATAAAAAAAAATGTGGTAACGTTATCAAACCCGTTTTCATATTTTTTTCATTTGCACTAACAATTTCAATACGACAATCGGAAATTAGAAAATGATGGGAAATTTGGATAATCGGAATGAGGTATGAAATTCTGCAGGCCC